ATATATATATATATATATATACACACACCAAAAAAAAATCCTATATCCCAAATTTTTAAGGTTCGACTATATTAACCCTACTCTTACCACTCGATTATGTTGAGGGCTATCACTTCTACTAATTTAACCATTATTATGTCCTAATAAACCGCTTCTAACCAAGTTTTCTTGGACCTCCGTTAACTATAATTCTATTACTTCTAATAATTGATGCATTTAATGGTCTGTTAAAATGACTTGACTCTTTAAACAATTCTTTCTCATTTTATCGACTAGCTTCTTAACTCCCTACAAATGCACTCGTTTATTATCCTACCTGTTAGTGTGTATCCACTTTTGCATTGTATTATTCTAATTCTACAGCACTCATTTTCATGTTTCTTATTTATCTAGCATTCTGATCCATAAAGTATTGTGGATTTTATAGTAGGAAAATCCAGTAAAAAAGCATTGATTGGATAGCATAAAAGGAAAGATATTGGTTTGGACTATTCTATCAAGACTCATGAAAGAAAATCATAAGGTTAAGTGGGGAAATAAAAGATGGTCTTTGCTAGGTTCGTCTCCAACACCAAGTACTTACTTAAGAAGACAAAAGGAGGTTTTAGGAGATAGAGGGGCAGACTCAATAGTGAAGGTGTGTGCATCGCTGTTTCGTAACAGGGATTTAATTACTCTCGTCCTTCTATAATTGCATTACTCCTCTCCTTCTTTCTCCGTTTTCTTTCTTTTCAAATGGAAGAAGCCAAGCAGAAGAGTGAAGGGAGTGCAAGCAAAAGAAAGTTCAAGAAGATTTGTGTCTTTTCCGGGAGCAAGCCAGGGAACAAGGTTTCATTCAGCCATGCAACTCTTGAGCTCGGAAAGGTACTGGTAAGATTTTTTTTTTTAAACATAAACGAATCAATAATATCGACTCAATTAGACCATCATGAATCAGCTTAGGATCATTTTGTTTTCCATCAGGTTCAGAGGAAAGTAGACCTTGTTTATGGAGGTGGGAGTGTAGGTTTGATGGGATTGATATCCCAAACAGTTCTTGATGGTGGATGCCATGTTCTTGGGTAAGCCAAGATCTCTATAATAATCTACTCCAGCTGAATAGTTAGCATAAAAACTCCTCGGGTTAAACACAAGTTGATGATTAGTAATTCTTCTCTCATCAGGGTTATTCCTAAAACTTTGCTGCCACATGAGGTAACAAGATTCAGCATCTCTCCTCTCTTCTCTATCTGCAATTCAAATAAGTGCACTTTTTACAACATTTCTTCCGTTCAAGTCCCCTTTACTGCACCAAAATTCAAAAGTTGCGGAGAGGATTGAGAGTTATAATTTTATACTCGAATATTCTCCCGCAGGTTGAGCGCCCTGTGGCATACATAGCAACAACTTTTAACTTACTATAGATATGTGACGGGTGGGATTTAAACTTGAGTTGCTCTCCCACCAACTTAAAGACCCGTTCCCGTATATAAAAAATTGACTTTATAGTGAGGGTTGAGGATTATGATAGTATACTCTAACAACTTCAAAATCAGAAACTATAGTAGCAGATGTTGTGCAGATTTCAGGGAAAAGCATTGGAGAAGTGAAGATAGTCTCTGACATGCACGAAAGGAAGTCAGAAATGGCTAAACATGCCGATGCATTCATTGCACTTCCAGGTGAGTTCTCAGCCCGTAAACTAAACAAAATAAACTCTTTCTGAGTTTCTAAAATCTTTAGGAGGGTATGGAACTATGGAGGAGTTGTTAGAGATGATAACATGGGCTCAGCTTGGGATACATGAGAAACCTGTGAGTTGTACCTTCAAAACTTTCTTTCCATATTTGGCAGATTGTTTGTTTACTTCTTTTGGGTTTTTTTTCATTTTTAAAATATATTTTATTTTCATATGATGTTATAAAAACTTTGGGCAGGTGGGGCTGTTGAATGTGGATGGATACTATAACAACTTGTTGGCACTATTTGACCAAGGTGTGGAGGAAGGCTTCATTGAGGACTCAGCAAGGCACATTGTTGTCTCAGCAGAAACTGCAGAGGAACTCATCATCAAAATGGAGGTAAATAAAAAAAAGAGATATAGCCATTTTGCATATCTTGTTCTCTTAGTCTCCCCCTTTCTTTATTTTTTACTTTTTTCCTTGGATTGAAAGAAGAATTATTGGCTAGGATTTATTAAGTGTAAGTTTCACAAAACCCCCCTACATGTTAGTCTTTTCTCATTTCCCTCTATCCTCCCTTCCCTAAAAAGAAACCCTGAGAACGGAATTTAGGTGGAAACTTTCAGAAAGTTCAGGGGGGTTTTGTGAAATTACCTAAAGTTCAAGGGGCGTTTTGCGAAAGTTACACTTAAAATTTTGCACGGGAGGTAAGAGAATGATACATTGACGTTTTGCAGGAGTACGCACCAGATCATGACAGGGTTGCACTTGCACTGCACCCACACGAAACAGGGAAGTGGACAAATTACTGGAAGAGTCCAATGCAAGTGGTCACACTCATAGTTCTTGAATAAAACCTACTGCATTTTGTGTCTTACGTGTACTTTGTGTGAGAATATAATTCTAGATTATTGCTTTCTCATTTAATGGTGAGAGAAATTTTTAGATTACTCTCATCTATCCTTTTTTATTTCAGATGGTTGTTGCTAATCATTTTGTTGCTTGTGGATTTTCAACCCTTTTTTAAAGAAAGAAAATCATACTATGCAAAGAAAATCATCCCAATAATTAGGCTATGACATATTTATATGATCGAGAAATTGCCAGTAAATGAGAAAGCTAGTCAAGCGCGATGCAAAACTAAGAAACATCTACAATAATCACAAAAAAAAGAGTAGAGCTGTAACGTAACTTGAACTATATCATGTTGCATTTTTTGGTCACAACCGCTTTCCAAAATGAGTTTTCAAACTATATATATATTAACTACAAGTACTTTTCATAAATGCTTAGTAGCCTAGTGAAAAGTTAAAGTTTTGGTGTTTCAAAAGGTCATCTATTCGAGGCTTGCCAACGGCAAGCCGAGAAGTGCTTTATTTTAATTAATCCCTCATAAGTTCTAGTGGATCGTGGGTCGTGGGTCGTGGGCCGTGGGCTAATGGGCCGGGGATCGAGGCTAATCGGCGCTATTTGGCGCCACGTTGGCTGTCACGAAGGTTGCCTCGCAAGCTGCTTCGCAGCATGCGGATGAGCTACGCATTCGTAGGAGGGTGTGACCCTAGCGTTCTCACAATCAGACGAGGTTCTCCTGTTTGACGAGGTTCGCTCGTTCGACGAGATTCTCCTGTTTGACGAGGTTCGCTTGTTCGACGATGTTTGCCTGTTTGACGAGGTTCGCCTATTTGACTAGGTTTGCCCATTCGACAAGGTCGCCCGTTTGATGAGGTTCGTTCTACAGACGATGTTCGTCTGATTTGCTGAGACGCGACCCTCGCGTTTCGTAGTAATACGTCCATTGATTGCCTCATATTCAAGAGTTACTACATGTAGCAGTTACAACATCATTTACATCAATTTAATTGATTGTTGTTACAATCATAATTGCTATTGATTTTGTAACAGCCATATTAATTGAGGGAGACTCTTGAGATGGCCTCAGAGGCCTATAAAAAGCGCCCTTTGGGCAGCTCTTGGTGCGAACTTGAAATACGAACGTCGGATCGTGGATATCTTGACGTTGTTGCTGTTGTGATGCTACTGCAGAAACTATTCCCGCAGGAACTTCCCTGAAACTGAAAGGTTTTGAACCGAAAGGTTCTGAGATCGAGGAGATCTTTGCCTTGATCGAAAGGTCTTATAGATCAAGGAGATATTAACAGTACTGGGTTGGCATACACCAGAGTACTGTACTACTATTCCTGAAAGCAGTTTGGCCTTAGGATCCTTACACCAGAGTAGGCCAAATATTGCTTTAAGCACAACGTTTCACATACGCACAGTAGTGAACTGAAAAAGTTTAAATTACAGCATATCAAAATTTCGCTATTTCATTCCAGATTTAATCATAATTTCTAACAATCTTAAAGCAATATTTTTGATCTATAATGGATCCTGCGAGGACTCTTGGAGTGGACTGTCTCAAGTTAGAGAATTTGGATGGATCCAACTTTAATGCATGGCGTCGGAATATGATTTTTGGGATGCAACTCCCGAAACTCTACTATATGGTTTCTGAGGAGAAACCTGACTTTGAAGAAGACTTTGAGTCTGAAGCCTCTTGGGCTAAAGATGATTATTTCTGCAAGAGTTATCTCCTTAACTACTTGGCTGATCATCTGGCAAATGCTTACACCAACAAGACCCCTACAAAGGAAATCTGGAATACTCTGGAGGAGTAAAACATAGATGAGGAGAAGCTTTCCAAGTCTCACCTCATTGACAAATTTCTGGACTTTAAATTCAAAGATGATACTGAGGTTTTGCCTCAAGTCAAAGAACTCGAAAAGCTTGTTATGAAGCTAAATGATGAAAAGATTAATCTTTGTCAAACCTTTATTTTTAGAGCAATTATCAACAAGATTCCTCTATCTTGGATATCATTCTCCACGGATATTCGAAGAAGGAAAAGATAGGTGACTCTGTCTAATTTGAAGAGGTTCATTCGGATCAAGGATGAGATTCGGACTCGCACGAAGAACGAGCTCCTAGCTAAGCAGAAGGCATCTGCTAACATGGTGGTTGCCTAACTCTGAGAAGAATACTAATTCTTCTTTCAAAAAGAAGAAGAAGCCATTTAACAAAAAGAAGAACTAAAATCCGAAGAACCTGAATGTTCAAAAGAAAGATTTTAAGAAGAGCGGCAAATGCTTCAACTGTGGGAAGCAATGACATATTGCCAAGGATTGCAAAGCACCAAAGAAGAGAACAACACACAATATTAATCAACTTGACAATTGTGTGGCTATGCTCTTTCAAGTGATAACTCCCAACAATGTCTCTGGTTGGTGGTTCGATATAGGTGCTACCTATCATGTCTGCTCCAACAGAGATTTGTTCTCTTTTTATGTTGCTATCAAAGAGAACGTACCAATGGCTGATCATTTTATAGTTTCTATTCTTAGAACTGGGACTGTGGTGCTGACTCTCTTTTCAGGAAAGACTCTCACATTGAAAAATATGAAACATGTCCCCTCAATTGCTAAAAACTTAGTCTCTGAAAGCTTGTTGTGTGATGCAGGTATGAGGTTAGATTTCTAAGGAGGAAAGGTTATGTTATCATTTAAGAAAATATATTTTGGCAATACATATCGTACTAATGGCATGTATAAAATCAATACTATTGTACTCATCTCAGTTGTAAATGAAGTATACTCTTCAGATTACTCTTCTGTATTATGGCATAATAGGCTAGGACATATAAATTATAGAAAGTTGTCTAGCATGGAGATATTAGGATTACTTCAAAAATATGAGGGCAACAAACCTGATAAATGTAAAGTCTGCATGCAAGCGAAGCTGATAAGGAAGTCCTTTCCAAGTGTCACAAGGAGCACCAACCTATTGGATCTGATTCACTCAGATACTTGTGATTTCAAGAGCTTCGTTACTCGAGGCGGCATGAAGTATTTCGTCACCTTCATTGGTGATCATTCACGCGTCTGCCACGTCTACCTGCTAATATCTAAATATGAAGCCTTCAGCAAGTTTATCGAGTTTCGAACTCGTGTGGAGAAGCATCTTGGACTTCAGGTAAAAGACTCAGGAGCAATAGAGGAGGAGAGTACTGATCTAAGGAGTCGAAGCATACTTTAAAGAGCATAGAATCATTGCTAAAACTACGACTATGTATTCTCCGCAATCTAATGGAATTACAGAAAGGAAGAATCATACATTAACCGAGATGGTGAATTTCATGCTAATCACATCTGGACTACCTACCTTCTATTAGGAAGATGCTTTGTTAATGGCAAACTGGATTCTGAATAGAGTACCTTATTCTAAAACTGATAGTAATCCTCATTAGTGTGGGGGTGTCTCGCATATGTTCGAGTTTTAGATATCAGAAGGTCTAAGCTCGGACCAAAGGCAAACAAATGTGTATTTCTTGGCTTTGCTGAAAATAGCGATGCTTGTAGGTTCTTGGACCTTGGAACCAACTCCATCATTGAAGCTCAGGATGTAGAATTCTTTGAGAATAAGTTTATCAAAAATAAAGGCTTATTGCTCAAAGATATAGCAGAGAATGCTAGTATGTCAGATACACCAGAAGAGGCAGTTTCACCAGAAACTAAAAATATTAATGATGAAGGAGTTACCAAACCACCTTCCAATCGTGTCAGGAGACAGAAAGATTTTAAAGATGATTTCATCACCTATAATGTGGAAAGAGGCCCATAGACTTTCTAAGAAGTAATATAGTCAACAGACGCTCTCCTGTGGAAAGAATGTATAGATGATGAGATGGATTCATTGATCCAAAATCACATGTAGGAACTAGTGGATGTACCTGAAGGTGCTAAGCCTATCAGTTGCAAGTGGATCTTTAAGAAGAAGCTTCGTCCTGATGGTACTATTGAGAAGTACAAAGTATGACTGGTGGCGAAAGTGTTCTCTCAGAGAGAAGGAATGGCCTTCTTTGATATCTATGCACCAGTTTGTAGGATCACTACCATCAGAGTGCTTATCGCATGGGCGGCTATAAAAAGCATCGTCATACATTAGATGGATGTGAAGACTGTATTTCTCAATGGAGACCTCACAGAAGAGATCTACATGGAGAAACCAGAAGGGCTTGATGCTCCAGCTGGTAAAGTTTATAAACTTGTTAAGTCTCTATGGACTTAAGCAAGCACCGAAACTCTGGCATGAGAAGTTCTATTGGGTTGTTTACAACAATGGTGTCAAGTCAGCGAATCTGACAAGTGCCTATACATCAAGGTCGCTAAAGGAAAGGTGGTGGTTATCTACCTCTATATGGATGATATGCTCATCATCGGGAGTGATTTGGAGATAGTAATATCTACCAAGAAATTTCTCTCGACATAGTTCAGCATGAAGGACCTAGGAACTACGAACGTGATTCGGAATCAAAATCATATACTCTGAAGAGGATATTGGATTGTCCCAATCTTATTATATCGAGAGCATGCTAAGAAAGTATAGCTAATACGACCTGCCAGAACTATCAGTGTCGTATGATTATAACAAGAAGCTTCGACCGAACACTGGAAAACCAATAAAGCAGCTAAGATACTCAAAGATAATTAGAAGTCTTATGTATGTGATGAGCTGCACAAGGCCAGATATAGAATTCGCTGTAGGAATGCTTAGTAGGTTCACAAGTAATCCTGAAAAGCTTTATTGGGATGATGTCCAGAGATTGATGAGATACTTGAAAGGAACTACAAGTATGGGCCTATTCTACACTGGATATTCGGTTGTAATCAAAGGCTATTCAGATACGAGTTGGTGCTCAGAACCAGATGAGTGTAGATCCTACTAGAGGTTTTGTCTTCACCATGAGTGGATCTGTAATCTCGTGGAAATCTAAGAAGTAAACTATGATTGCACAGTCATTGATGAAATCTGAGTTCTTCGCACTCTGTGCTTCAGGAAATGAAGCTGAGTGGCTCAGTTGTATTCTCTGAGACCTTCTATTGATAGAATTTCAAGGTGAAATTACTATCTATTATGATAATCAGGCGACGGGTGCTATAGCAGCG